TGACGACGGAGATAGCGGCGTCAGGGCGGAGATGGTGGCGTCATGCGGTGGTGGTGGAATGGGCAGATTGCAACAGTCTGTGTACAAGAGAGAAATAACATAAAATAGAGAGAATGGAAAGAACGATCGATGAGAACAGTGGCAGCTAGTGGAGAGAAAAATGAGAGGAAGAAGAGAAATAGGGTTTCGTGATTTGATATGATAATTAAGAGTAAAATTTGAGGACGAAAAAAATATTTTCCCAAAATTATAATTCGACAAAAGTTTATACGAAGCAATCATAATTTTTGAGAAAAGTGGATAGTAGGAAGTGGATTGTTAAGGAAACGTAGTCTTTTGAAACCCGGATCGGTCCCGCCGGTTAAACTAAGTTAAACCATGAACAGTTCCTTGCTCGATCAGGTTTGGCCAGTTGAGCCGTAAAATTGGAGCCCGACTAAACATCGGGTTTTTTTTGCCCAAAATGGTCGGTTTATTTATTTAAAATAGAAAACATATTATTTTAGATTATAATTCTATAAAATTGAAGTAATTGAGTTGTGATATATGTGTGTTTATATGTTGTGTGTACAAAAGAAAAGTAAGTCTGATTTACGTTTTAATTAGAGGAGAGTAATAAGATAATGTGTATAAAAGAAAGTAGCCTCTATTTGAAAAATAAATAAATATATTATATAAATGATCATAAAATATAATATAAAATAAAATAAAATAAACCAGGTAGAATCCCGTTTGAACCGATATAACTATGACCCAACAGTTTGTCTAATACAATCTCCGGTCCAATTTTTAAAATATCGACAATGATGATGAAGAATTGTGGGCCGAAACAGAGCAAGACATTGTTTTGATGCTAGCTTATAATTAAATTTGTTGTGGTAGAGTTATAATAATACTTAGGACAAATCACGGTCACCCTTGAGTTATGAACAAATTACAAAAAAACTCCTCTTGTGTTGGGTAAGTACAGCACCCCCAATATTTTAACATAAAAATTTATGTAATTCGGTTATTGATGATGCTAGAATTAGATCACCTTAGATGGTTGAAGTAGAAAGAGCTGGGAGAACAAAGTAGGTCACATGCTCACGAGCTAGATGGTCTTGAAACACTCAAATTAGTTTAACAATCCTGCGAACATAAAACACGTAATCTAAACCGGGGTTTGATCCGGCGGAAACCCCTCGCGAGCGCGTAAAAAGTCCTCGGATAACCGATAATAGCCGAGATAATTTGAGTATAAGAAGTGATTGAATAATAAAGCGTACATTAATTAAATGAATTTAACTTCTATTTATACTTTATTGATTGGGCCAAGATCAATTTATCGAGTCCAACCTTATTTGGATGTGATTGGGCCTCCGTAAAAATAGCTATTAAACTGGGCCTGTGGCCCAGTAAATATGGGTCTATTGGGCTGGGCCAATAGGCATATCAGTTATTTACCGAATCAAGTGGTATATTTAGTTTGGTAAATGGTATGAAATGTTGGCGTACCAAAACTTTGGTTCGATTTTATCGAATTAACATCCATAAATCTACCTCTTGAGGGGTCCTTTCTTAAGATAATATATAGTTGAAGAGAGTGTTTGTAATTATGTAAATATGAGAAAGTTTTCATAATTTGATCATAATTCAGAGTGGTTATAATTTGCCTTAATATTTATAATCGAAACAAAGCTGTGTGTATTGGGCGGTGGAGTAAATTGCAAATGTATGATGGGTGCCGTCTTTCGTCTAATTCAATTCAGTGCGGGGTCCTCTTTGGTCTAATTACGCCGTCTGTTTAATAACTCTCAAATACATGTTATACCAGATATACCCTTTTTCACTATTTTATAAACTTAAATCTTTCGAAATAATAATTAGGGGAAATTACACACACCCCTCAAGTATGATAAAATAATTTTAAGGTTTTCTGTGGTATCGGTACTACACTTACCCCCTAAAACATAGTTAGAAAACTTTAATGAGATAATGCATTAGATACGTTGTTCCAATAGAGTTCTAATGAACTGTTACTTTTAGTAAGTGGTGGAGACAACATAGAGTTAAGGGGTGACATGGTTCCCCCAACATTTTTTAAATCATCCATAGCGCTATGTTGTCTCTACCACTTCCTGAAACTAATAGTCCGTTAGAAACCTATCGAAATAACGTATCTAATGCATTACCCCATTAGAGTTTCTAACTATGTTTCAGAGGGGTGAGTTTAATTAGCGATACCACAAGGACCTTAAAGTTATTTATCTTACCTGAGGGGTGTGGGTATAATTTACCCTAATAAAAAAAAGAATTTATAACTTATACTCATTTATTTGTTTTAGTTTTTGCTCCTTTCTTGGTTTATGATTACTTGTATTAAACCTTCTAATCATATTTTTCATCTAACTAGTAATTATTTTAAAGATGCATACAATATAAAGTATCATAAGAATTGGAGTGAAAATATTTTGTTACTCAATATTGGTTCTAATATTTATTCGAAAATCTTTACAATGATATTACCATTTAAATTTTATTATACATCATTACATTTATTTATATTTTAGTGATATAAATTTATGATGGCGTATTATTTTGATTAAAAAATCTAATAATAATACTAATAAAGAAGTATCTAATAAATTATATCATAAAAAGATGAAATGCCCACATTTAAAATCGATGAAAAATTAAAAGAAATTTATGTATTCAAGTTTAAGATAAAAAAGTAATTACACTTTTTATTGTCATTTTTTGTTATACTTTACTTTTATGAGAAATATATTTTTCTCTATAAAACCGGACGGAAATAAAGACATAGAATTAAATAATAATAATAAAATTAGTATGTAAAATAATAGAAGTTGAAGAAAATTATTAATGAAAATAGAGAGGGAGAAAATTCGCTTGAAGAAAAGTATTGGTACTACATATCATTTAGGATTTACATCTCTCATATGGTTTGAAAACTATTATACGATATACCCAGTGCACCTACGTGATTTGTTGTTAGTTCCTTCATTACCGAAAAAAACATATAAGTTAGGGGATAAGTGAAGATTTTAGTAGTACAAGGGAGGTAAATGAATATTCCTATTAATACAATGGAGGTAAATAAAATTAACCCTTCTAAAAACTTATATCCTTGTGAAATACTATTTGTTATGGTTTGGCATTTTTTTCACTCTTTCCCCAAAATAAAATTATCTTTTCAAACTATCTTTAAAAACTTTCCCCAAAAAAAATACAAATATTTATCTCTAACAAACATGAGTTGACTGCTACAGTGAAAACTGTCTTCAGTAAAATACAAATTAAAATCGTTTTATCTTTTAAATTCTTCTTTAAAAATACATGTTTCAAACAAATTTTAGGTATGATTTGACTTACTACAGTATAAATTGTCTGCTCTCAAAACACAAACAAACTTTATTTTATTTTCAAATTGTCTCCCAAAACATTTTTCTCACAAATAAAATAGCAACAGAAGCCCAAAAGCTTATCAAACACATTCTATACTTTTTGATATTGAAAATATGATGAATTATTTTAGCAATTTATATGCCGACTGCAATAAATTCTATCATCTTCTTATTTCAACATGGTATGGTCCCTTTGATTGTGTCTACGTTGAAAGGGGAATTAAATACGGTAATATGTACACCAAGTACGATAAGTAGCACTACCAAACTAAGACAAAGAATATAATAGGCTTAATTCCACTTTGCACCCTTAAAATATAGCATTTTGACAATTTACACCATATAAAATAATTAATAGCATTTTATACCTTCAAAATACAATAAATCGTTCACAATATACCATGAATTGAATATTTAAAACTTAGTGAGGGTAATTTCAATTTTTATTGGCTATTTATTTCCAGAATGTAAAATAATAAATTAAATTGTTATTTTCTTCAATACCCAACATAAATTCGAGCGTATAAAATGCAAGAAGAACAAATTAAACAAAAAAATAAAAAAAAAACAACGAATTACTGAAAAAAATTATAATTTCTTAAAAAAAAACAAGACGTCTCTCACTAAATCGTTGGATTGATGGATCTTTTATTACTATTAGTGAAAATATTTGGTAGAAAACTTTCAAAGAAAATATAATTTTTAAATAACTCGATAACAAACTAGCTGAAGGATTTTTATAGTTTTGGTTTTTGGTAAAATATTTTTTTGTACAATTTTTTTTAAATGTACCTATGAGATGTATAGTTGTTTCAAAAATGATGGGTAGAGTTAAATCACTTTACATAGTTGAAGTAGGATGAGAGGTTGTTAGCAGTGTCACACTCTCCGTGAGCAACTGTCTCAAGGCTATCATGTGCGCTACGTGATTATGTCTGTCTTCCCACAGACGGCGCCAAAATGATGATGCTAGAGTTAGATCACCTTAGAGAGTTGAAGTAGGATAAGCTGGAAGAGCAGAGTGGATCACTGGCTCAAGAGCTTGATGACCTTGAGATACATGCGATCAATAGAACACGTGAACTAGGCCGGGGGTTGATCCGGCGGAAACCCCTCCGACGCTCAAGTCAGACGTGCACATAGTAGAAATAGTCCAGAGAATACATGTTGAAGTGTTGCTCAAATAATAGGACGTACCTTAAGGAATGAGTTCAAACCTTTATTTATACCTCATTGATTGGGCTGAAGTTTAATTAGTTGAGATTATCGGGTCAAAACGTTATTTGAAGGTGATTGGGCCTTAGTAGTAATGGTCTTCAATATTGGGCTCGTAACCCATTAGGTAAATAAATTGTAGGCCTATTGTGTTGGTCCAATTAGACATATCAAAAAGGATTGGTGAATATAAAAAAAAAATATTTGACATTTGACACCCTAAAAAATGCCACTAAAAATATTAAATTGTTTTCATTAATTTTAGAATTCATTCGGGGTGCATTATGCATGATTTATTATGTTTTAAAGGTACAAAATGCTATTAATTGTTTGTGAGGGTGCAAAGTGCCAGAAAACTATATTTTACGAGTGCAAAATAGAATTAAGCCAATAATAAGAATAATTAATACATATAGTAATAATGTATCTATCTCCCACAAACAGCGGCATTAAACAATGCTAATTGCCGGCACAAAACCGTCTTTAGGCACTCTCTTTGGTTTTTTTCCGCCTCACCGCGTGCCACGTGTCACCACTAGTGGGCCCCCCACACGCACACTCTCTCTCATTGTTTGGGCGGCGGCCCCCTTTTCTACCAGTCAAACCCCTCGTTGACCGTGCCCCACCCCCACCATTACGTTTTCCTATATAATAAGAGGCTTTTCACCCCCACAAATAATTCATACCCAATTCCCGGCATACAATTAATTACTTCTTTTCTCTCTCACAAATTAGGATTAAGCAATTAGTTCTTGGAGAGAACATATATTGATTAATGGCGATGAAGGACAACAAGGCTGACGGCGTTAACCCCAAGGCTAACGGCGTTAATAAGGACGTCCACTACCGGGGCGTTAGGAAGAGGCCGTGGGGCCGCTACGCCGCCGAAATCCGCGATCCCGGCAAGAAGAGCCGCGTCTGGCTCGGCACATTCGACACCGCTGAGGAGGCGGCGCGTGCCTACGACGCGGCGGCGCGTGAGTTTCGTGGGCCGAAGGCCAAGACCAACTTCAACCTTCCCTCCGCCGCCGCCGCCGCCGCCGTCCGCAGTCCCAGCCAGAGCAGCACGGTCGAGTCGTCAAGCGCCGACAACAATACACGCGCCCCCATCGAGCTCGATCTCACGCGCCGCCTCGGCGCCATCCCAGACGCCGGCGTCACCGTAGCGCAGGCCGGCGGTGGTGGGTTGAATCCCATGAATGCGTACCAGTTCTTCCGTGGGCAGCCGGCGATGGCGGTCCTGCCCAACGGGCAGCCCGTGTTTCTGTTCAACTCGCTAGTGCAGCAGCCGGGTATGGCGGCGGCGGCGTACCAACTGAACCAGGTGGCGGTTGGGTTCAAACGCGGCGGCGCGTTGCAGAGCAACTCGGACACGTCGTCGGTGGTGGATGAGAACAATTTAGATGGGTCTGATGCGAAGAGAGGGGGGCTGGATCTTGATCTTAACATGCCGCCGCCCCTGGAAAATTGAATCGAACCTGTTCGACGTTTAACTGAGGATTACATTAAACTGACGTTTAGTGTGTGTATATAATTTTTTATTTTTGTTTTTGCAGCTGAGAGTATGAATAATAGCTCTAGTTGTTCCAATTAATCTTCTTTTTTTAATCGGTCTTTATGGATAAATTAAACTATTAAATTTGTTGTAATTTCGATTTATTTTGTTTTAAAGTAATTTTGATGTAATTTATTCAGATTGCATTAGCTCCGAAATTCGATTTAATGGGATATATTTACTTCAAATTGGATAATTATTTAATTTAATCTATGATTTGAATTCTTGGTCTAGATGAATTGTACAATGTATGCAGATATATAAATCCATAATAAACTAAAATAAGAATTTAGTGAAATGGACAAAATTATCTTCATATACAAATAATATTAATAAATATCTTTTAAGATAAAATAATATTTTATGTATTGTTTCACTATTTCTAATGTTATAATAAGTTCGACTAAACCAATTTAAATAATTTACTACTCTCTCTATTTATATTAAATAGTCTTGATTCGTCGGAAAAAAAATCCCTATTTGACCTGATTGTTCTTTCGGAATGTGCATCTTCTCTTTCTCTTTTCATTAATATTGATTAAAATCGATTTTTTTTAAAACGACACTAAATATGAAAAAAAGAAAAATGAAGTGACCATTATAAATAAACGAAGTAGTAATATAATAATAGTAATAAATAATTGTTAATAGAAGCTCAGAGTATGACTGTAGATTGTGGAAGAATGGACAATAAGAAATGGTCAAAAAGTAAAAGTAGAAGGAAGTTAGAGAGAGAGAGAGAGAGAGAGAGAGAGAGAGAGGAGAGAGAGGCGCGCCGACGGCAAAAAGGTAGGTGAAATGAAATGTGAGGTGAGTGGGGCCCACAGAGACCTCCGAATTCCGTGTTGACGGAGTACATGTCGAGCCTAAGGTGGACGGCACGTGTTACTTTAAGTTTTGCCGCCCACTATTTTATTATTTATTTATTTTCTCTTGTTTTTTTTTTTTTTTTTTTTTTTTTTTTTTTTTTTTTTTTATTCTTCTTTTACCATTTTTGCCTCACAATTCACATAACAACCCATCCAAGATTGAATGAATAGACCAACAAGGATGGTCTATTGGTTGGAGCAAATAAATCTGTACTAATTGACTCAGGTACGATTTACTTACCAACGGCCACATTAGTAGAAAAATGAACAAAATTCGTAGTAAAAAGGTTTTTGATATGAATTTATCCTGTAGCATATACGGGCATGACATAACCTTTACCACAGTAAATTGCTGTAGCAAATGATTTTTTGGTACGGTAAACCTAGCATTTACTACGACTTCAAGATTGTCATGTAGTAAAGTTCACCTTTTCTTACGGCTTTAGACCGTAGCAGAAAAATCGTAGTAAAAAACTATTTTTCTACTTTTACCGTTCGGTGGAGCTTGTCACACATGATTAGCTTAGTGTGATTCACGTGTCTCATATGGTTTACAAACTATTATACGAGATTGTATATTTACCCAATGCACTTATATGGTTGGTTGTGGGTGAATTCCTTTAATGAAAAAAAAAAAAAGGAATTTTGAATGAGTCTATATAGAGAAATAGTAAATCGTTTCAAGCATTTTCCACATCATAACTAGTCATGTTGTATTTTGACAAGATACCTTAGTGTAGAAAAACGTCTAGAACAATTAGTAAATATTATATAAGAATTTCATAATATTATATTACATTATAATTTTTACTTAAGGTATTGGTTATCATTAGGGGTGTTCACTCGGCGAGTAATCGGCCGAACTGAAAATCTTGTACATATCGAACACCAAACTAAATTTTCAAGAATTGATTAGTTTAACTATATAATTTTTTGAAATATTAAATTATAACCGATTTTTTTCTGAATTAATTCGGTAAAAAACCACACCAAAACAGAATAGTTCGATTCGGTAGACAGTTGAAACTTTCAAAGTACCGAAATTATCGAATGAACACCTCTAATTTTCAAATGTGAAACTTCATTTTGATTTTTTTTCCTGATTATACTAACACTTAGGCCCATTTTGGTTGGGCTGATCCGGACAGATTGATCTTCTTATCTGGGCGGATCTTTGATTTGGTTCATTATAGCTGGATCCGGATAGATCCTGGGCCCGGGTTCGGATCCACCAATTACGTGATAGCAGATCTCACCGTGGGAGGTGTGATCGGGTAATCCGATTTTTTTCCCTTAAAACCGTGAAGTGCTATTACCCTATTGCCCTCAGTACATTTGTAGTTACAATTGTACCAGGTATAAATACATATTATCTCCTTCAACGAAGCCCTAGTTTCTTCTCTGTCATTGCGATTGGTCATCGCCGACTTCCAATTCTCCTTCTTTGCCGTTTATCGTTGAAATTGGCAGCTTCGGCGGCATGGAGGCACTTCTTTGCGGCACCGTGAGGTGAGTTTTCCAAATATAACTGGACACATTAATATTCTCCACTCTTCGTACATTGGATATGGACTTCATGCTTTGGATGGTTGTCATTGTTGACTCCATTTATTAACTAATAAAAATTTAACCCACCAGATCCCCAATTGGACTCAATTTATTTGTTTGGAATTATTGGGTAAAATGTGCGGTTTCATCATTGAACAACAATTGGTGATAATTTGTACTACGGTGTTTGTTGGGCAGACGGTCTTTCGAGCTCATAAAGAATATGCCACAGTTCCCCCAAAAATTCCCATCTTTTTATGGAAGTAGCATGATATTAATTTGGAATGTTTTGATTTTATTCAGTTGGAATTGCAGTGGGATAATATTGGATTGTTTGTGAGGTTGCATCATTCAACTAAAATATGTGATAATTTTGCATCATTTAACTAAAAATACACTGCATAAGTTATCTATTATTGACTTTTGATGCCTTTTCTTGGAATTATGTGGTGGAGAAGCATGACATTTTCCAGGTGGTGAATAATTTCAGAAATTTAGCTGCAAAAATATTTTCCATATTTCTGTGTTGGACTGAACTCTCACATGTCATGCTTGTGTGAAGATTAAGAAAAACGGTGGGCACAAAACTTGGAAACACGTGCAATCATTTATAAGGTAATTAACTTATAACAGAGCAGAGCCATCTTTGGCTCTTTTGATATTTTTTTGATCCTTTTTTCAAGGAAAAATGGATCGAGTTACAACATTTGTGCATATTATGGAGTCACTAATGATATTATTTGTTTACGATTTGACGAATTGGTTTTTGTTACTTCTATCGAAGATTATTGCTCATATGTATTTAATCACTTACCTACCGAATCATACTTACTTTCTCGTTATCTAAGATGGCATCCACTTCTGTTATTGTTAATATAGTTTTCATAATTGCTCATTGTTAACTCTTTACTTTTGTAATCAATATTCATGTGAAATTAGTAGCATCATGGTGGTCTGGTTAAGGGAGAGTGAGCTGAATAGGGTAGTTGAGGTAGATGGACTTGAGTGATGTTAACATGCTTGCGAGAAAACTAAGGCTTTCTTGGGTGGGCGGTGGGAGATTGGAGAGAAACAGTTGCAATGCTAAGTGAATAGTTCATTTATAGAAGAAGGAATTATAGAACTTTTGATTTAAATAATGCCTAATTTGTTTCAAGAGTTGCAGTTGATGTCATTCTCTATAGGGAATTCTTTAGCTCTTTATATCTCACTTTAGGGATGCTGACACGTGTGTTGCATTTGTTCATATGTACTCAGGTTCACCGAGCATGACTAATGTGACAAAATTGATGTTCTTGTGAAGGTAAGTGAAATTAAGTGTCTGCTTCTCGTCTTCGCATGGTTACTCGTTTAATTGTATTATCATTGTAGGTGACTGATATCTGCAGCTCCCAAGCTTTTGTTTTGCCTTGTACATGGAAAAGACAGAAAAGGGGGTTATGGTTTGAATGATCCTCGAAGGTCGCTACTTCGGATAGATAGACTACCATCCACTCACAGGGCGACGAAGAAATTTTCCGTATTCGGACCCCATCTTGCGGCGTTATTTATATTTAAGATACTTTATTTCTTCTTTAATTTAATTTTGTGGTGGACATTATAGTAGTCCACTTGTTTGTCACAAATATAAATTTTATGTAATATGGCAGATTATATTACGCAAATTTTCTACAAGTATTTTGTGAAGTTTCTGTTAGTTTGGATGTCTAACATGGCCTCCAAAAAATTCTGTTATTTTGGAGCTTTTGCTCAATTTTATTAGCTTCATATTTTGTAGAAAATAGAAAATATAGATAATGACATCTAATTGTTATATTAATGTTCATTTTTCCAATAATAAACACAAATTATAAATTATAATTCAATAGAAAAAAGCAAGAATGAAGTCACCCCATAACATAAACAACTACAAACGTTTATTTTGGAAGTAAAGCAAATTCATCATAGCTCGGTGTATTATATAATAATAAAAAGGGCTTGCAAGGGGTGGAAATATAATTATCCGAAAATGTTAGGAATGCTTTTATAATTAAAGGAAAATGGGAGGAATAAATGGGTCGTGCAAGCAATATTTTAAAAATTGACAGGTGTATAATATAATAATAAAAAGGGCTTATCAGGGGTGGTAATGTTATTATCCAAAAATATTAGGGATGGTTTTATAATTAAAGGAAAATGAGAGGAAAGAATAAGTGCAACAAGCAATATTTTAAAAATTGACAGGTGTATAGTATAATAATAAAAAGGGCTTGCAAGGGGTGGATGTAATTATCCAAAAATGTTAGGGATGCTTTTATAATTAAAGGAAAATGGGAGGAATGAATGGGTGCAACAAGAAATATTTTAAAAGTTGACGGGTGTATACTGTAATAATAAAAAGGGCTTAGTAGGGGTGAAAATGTAATTATCCGAAAAATTTAGGGCTGATTTTATAATTACAGGAAAATAGGAGAAAAAAATGGGTGAGCAAACAATATTTTAAGGTGTATAATATAATAATAAAAAGCCTTACAAGGGTGGTAATGTAATTAACCAAATTATCCCACCCAATCCTCCCAACCATTCATGAGTTTGGCTCATTCGGATTCAATCCCACATATCCGTATCCAACCAACCCAACCCGAGATACCATCCATATTTTACTAATCCATACAGTGTAATTTCAATATGAAGCCCCAATCCCATCCTATCCCGTCCCTCCAACCAAAAGGGGCCTTACCATATATCTCTTCTTACTCTAG